TCAAGTCCCACAGTCGGCCCTACGGAACCCCTGAACACAAAAATTTGGCCCTCTACATATATGTGGTTTCTTATCCTGCAAATACTGTGTTTTAAATCTGTGTTTGGTTGTAGATGCAGAACCTACTGATATGGAGGCCCAAATGTATTTATTGAAAAAACCCCACATATAAGTGGAACAAAGTAGTTCATACTCATGTTGTTCAAGGGTCAACTGTATTACACTAAATAGCAACTTGGGTTCCCCTTCTGGAAATAGAAGCTGGTGGTTTTGGACTAGCTATCCCCCAGGGAACAACTAGAAAAGCTGGACAAAATATTAAAATATTTGAGTATATCCAAGAGCTCCCAAAACATAAGGGTTTTGAGGGGCCAAGAGCTATAAGAAGAGTGAGCTCAGATAAGGATGACATTTGGATCTGCATCTTTGTCAATTCCAAACCAGCAGGAGAGATCAAAAAGCTGTGTGTTACTTTTAGCCAACTTACAGGGCGGTGGGAACAAAACTGAAATTCAGGGCGCACTGAGGAAAGGTCCTAGAATACCCTTCAGTCTTAGGTTGGGACTCCAGAGGTTCATAGTTCACAACCTATTTAATAGAGAGCAATAAATAGACAAGCTCTCAAAAGAATATAAGTCCAGTTTTGAATGATCGCTACCCAATCCAGGATTGCTGATGCCTCCAGCCTAGTCATTTGCCAAAAACCAGCACAAATTTTCTCTGGAGAAGAAACCATCTAGAGCTTCAAATTACACCTATACTTTTACAATGGCATTGTCCCTTTCTCAATAAAAAATAACCAGGCATGTGAGGAGATAATAGAATAAGCTGCTAAACCCTCCCCCCGCAAAAAAAAGATAATAGAAAGAGAGACCCATAGGGGACTACATAAAACAATAATGCTTGGTATGTCCAGAGAACTAAACAGTAATTTATAACATCTGTTATATTTCTTCATTTTTGCACAAATTGGGTTCTTATATTTTTAAATATAGCAAGGAATTAATATGTTTTGCTATTTTAAAGAGTTGTATTTGAGGTTGGTTGGTTGGTTGGTTGATTTGTTTTTTAAGGTAAGGTCTTGCTCTGTTGCCCAGGCTAGAGTGCAGTGGTTCAATCATAGCTCACTGTAGCTGGAACTATAAGTGCTCACTCCCATGCCTGACTAATTTAAAAAAAAAAAGTGTTTTTTGGTAGAGACAGGATCTTACCATGTTGCCCAAGCTGGTCTCAAACTCCTGAGCTCAAGCAATCCTCCCGTCTCATCCTCCCAAAGTGCTGGGATTACAGGTGTGAGCTGTAGCCACCCAGCCAAGCATTCTATTTTATTAAACAAAAATTATACAAGGAATGTTAAAACTATGAGTGTTCCTAGGAACTGTATCTTTTGATTGAATTCACCAGTATCTAAGGAAGTTTTTTTCACTCTGGGATCAGTACAAAACTGCTGCCTGAGGCAAGCTACTGAGAGACAGGCAGGTAGGAGATAGGAGTAGGCTCAGAGGCAAATGCCATCGTTTAGATAGGCTGCTGCTTGGACTTAGCTACATATTAAAGATCATCTTCTCAATTATTCCAAACAAATTTTGTTTCCTTTGGCTAGAGTTATGCCCTAATTCTTGTGTAAATTCTTGAACTTTTTATGTACTTTTTTTTTTTGCTGGTGTTGGACATAGGGTTTTTGCTGGTGTTCGACATACAGACATTGATCAAACCAAATTTACTTGGTCTTTGAATCATAGAAATATATGCCTCTTTGTTTTTTATACTTAATGTTCTGGCTTTGCCTCTAGCCCCAAACATCCCAGTCATCCAGGCTTACACTTAAGAGAGCATTACTCAGTTATTGATGGGTTATACTGACACTAACCCAAGATCAATGAGGCCTTCATAAGCTATTTAGAAAATAATCTTATCAGGCAGGAAAGGGATAGCAACAGTATCATCCTGGGAAATACTGCCAAACAACATTGCACATCACCTCTAAATGTGTCTAATGAGTCATCAGCCATATACCATACTGTTACACAAATGCGTATATATAATATATAAATATACGAAAATCACAGTAGGACATACATTTTCCCTTCCCCACATTCTCAATTTCCATTTTATGCAATGTTTTTTCTGTGTATTTTTTAAATATTCCATTTCAATATGGATAGTCCTATAAATTATTTGGAAGCAGAATTATGGGCTGTGTCTACATAAAAAATAAAGTAGTAATGTAAGAAGTCTGTGATAAAACTAAATTATATAAAGTACTAATATGTATTTACTTGTGCTAGAAACAAACTCCTTTTTCTTATCTTATAGTTCTGCAATGGAAACATGTTCTGATATCCTGATAAATCATAACAAAAATCTGAGTGGGTTGTATTTTGTGCCATAATCAGAATACTTACATGAAAATGACAGTTTTTAGCTACACAAACTGTGTTGTTTTACTTTCAATTCAGACTTGTTTGTCCAACTTTCTTCCGATATCTCTACCTAAATGCCCTATGGGCATCTCAAACTTAACACCTACAGAATAAATCCCAGTTCTTCTCACCTTGCTTCTCTTATCTACCCCAATCTCCTTTTCCTCATTTGTTCTCTGCCTAAGTACAAAGCACTACAATCCACCTAGTTACACGCCCCAAAGCTTGCAGTCATCCTACTGAATGGGGTACAGGAGTGATGAAGAACACGGGCTCTGAAATCAGACTGCTAAGGTTCTAATCCAGCCTTGCAACTTGTCGGCTGTGCGGCCTTGAGCAAATTGTTTAACCTCAACCAGACTTAGTTTTTTCCTCTGTAAAACTGCACTTAAATGTGAGGCTAAAAAAGTCTACTTCAGGCTGGGTGCAGTGGCTCAAGCCGGTAATCCCAGCGCTTTGGGAGGCCGAGGCGGGTGGATCCCGAGGTCAAGAGATCGAGACCATCCTGGTTATCATGGTGAAACCCCGTCTCTACTAAAAATACAGAAAATTAGCTGGGCATGGTGGCGCGTGCCTGTAATCCCAGCTACTCAAGAGGCTGAGGCAGGAGAATTGCCTGAACCCAGGAGGCGGAGGTTGCAGTGAGCTGAGATCGCACCATTGCACTCTAGCCTGGGTAACAAGAGCGAAACTCTATCTCAAAAAAAAAAAAAAAAAAAACAACAGTTTGCTTCACTCTAAGCAATAGTACAAAACTGTTGCATAAGGAAAGCTACTTGGAGACCAGTAGGTGGCAGGTAGGAGTGGTCTTAGATGCAAATGTCATGGTTTTTGTTTGTTTGTTTGCTTGTTTTCTGAGATGGAGTCTTGCTCTATGATCCAGGCTAGACTGCAGTGGCACAGTCTCAGCTCATAGCAACCTCTGCCTCCCAAGTCCAAGCAATTCTCGTGCCTTAGCCTCCCAAGTAGCTGGAACTTCAGACATTCACCACCATGCCTGGCTAATTTTTTTTTTTTTTTGAGACGGTGTGTCATTCTGTTGCCCGGGCTGGAGTACAGTGGTGTGATCTTGGTTCACTGCAACCTCCGCCTCCCAGGTTCAAGCAATTCTCCTGTCTCAGCCTCTTAAGTAGCTGGGATTACAGGTGCCCACCACCGTGCCTGGCTAATTTTTTTATTTTTAGTAGACAGGGTTTCACCATGTTAGCCGGGCTAGTCTTGAACTCCTGACCTCAGGTGATCCACTCTCCTCGGACTCACAAAAAATGCTGGGATTATAGGTGTGAGCCACTGTACCTGGCCCCGGCTAATTTTTAAAAAATATATTTTAGTAGAGACAGGGTTTCACCATGTTGCCGAGGCTGGTCTTGAACTCCTGAGCTCAGGCAGTCCACCCACCTCAGCCTCCCAATGTGTTAGGATTACCGGCATGAGCCACCGCGCCTGACCCACAAATGTCATAGTGCACATGTGGGCTGCCTAATGCATAGTGTCATAGCTGCCTATCTAAACTATGTGAGAAAATCGTGGTCACATAGCTAACAAGTGGCAAGGCTGGATTTAAACCTTAGCAATCTGATTTCAGAGCCTGTGCTCTTCATCACTACTGTGCCCCATTCAATAGGATGACTGAGATTTTGCGGTTGGTAACTGGGTGCATTGTAGTGCTTTGCACTTAGGCAGAGAAGAAGTGAGGAAAACTTGTTACCCAGAATAAATAAGATAAGGACAGTATCCACACTACCACCAATGTCCAATTCATTTGAAGTTCTATTGATTCCACATCTTAGTACTTCTTTTTTCTGAACTCTTCTCTACAATTCTGATGTGCTTGGAAAAATGTTACAGCATTATGCTTGTAGTAAATGCCAGTGAAAGACCAAGTATGACATATTTAGGCTACCTCTTTTAAGTACACAGAGAAATTGCCTTAGTTTTCTAGGCAGGCTTTTTTTTAAAGTGTATCAGTTGGAGTTTGAAATAAATCCTGACATTAATTTGGGGCAATATAATTGAGCTCAAGAAAAGCCTTACTTTAAAAATTTAGAATTGCAATTACCATCTACACTAGTGAAATATTATACATAAGAAATATTTTATAAACTAGGAATATTCAGAAAGCTAATCTAGTATATTTTAACTCTTAACCCTTATAAAATATGCCATACAACTTTCATTTAATATATATTGCATAATCTAAGACAAATATAAGTAACGTAATGTTTTAAAACTCTGAACTGGGCCAGGTGTGGTGGTTCATGCCTGTAATCCTAGCACTTTGGGAAACCAAGGAAGGTAGATCTCTTGAGGCCAGAAGTTCAAGACCAGCCTGGGCAACATGGCAAAACCCATGTAGATTAAAAATACAAAAAATTAGCTGGACATGATGGTGCGTGCCTGTAGTCTCAGCTATCCTGGAGGCCGAGGTGGGAGAATCACTTAAACCTGGGGAGTTGAGGCTGCAGTGAGCTATGTTTGCACCATGACACTCTAGCCTAAGCCATAAGAGTGACACCCTGTCTCAAAAACAAACAAACAAACTCTGAACTGTAAATTTAAGGTAATTATAATAGTTACATTTTTGACTTTGTAATGCCACATGACTTGTCTTCTCTGATCTTTGATATTTCCTTAGATGTGGAGATAGCACTATCCTTTTCAAATTCCAACTGAAAATCAAATGTCAGGGGTATAGCCATAGTTGTTTTTCTTCCTTCATTCTGAAGCCTGTTTATCTGCAGCAAAGCCAAAGTGGAAAAAAAAATGAGTGCTTTTCATATGAGGAAAATCTTAGGTGGAAAGAAAAATAAATTAATCTCACTTTACACACACACACACACACACACACACACACAGAATTTAGGTGGTAGGCAATAAGCAATTCTTTGTTTTTGTTTTTCTTTTTGTTTTAATTGCATTTTAGGTTTTGGGGTACATGTGAAGAACGTGCAAGATTGTTGCATAGGAACACACTTGGTAGTGTGATGTGCTGCCTTCCTCCCCTTCACCTATATCTGGCATTTCTCCCCATGCTATCTCTCCCCAACTCCCCACCCCCCGCTGTCCCTCCCCTATTTCACCCCGACAGACCCCAGTGTGTGATGCTCCCCTCCCTGTGTCCATGTGTTCTCATTGTTCAACACCCACCTATGAGTGAGAACATGTGGTGTTTGATTTTCTGTTCTTGTGTCAGTTTGCTGAGAATGATGGTTTCCAGGTTCATCCATGTCCCAACAAAGGACACGAACTCATCGTTTTTGATGGCTGCATAATATTCCATGGTGCATATGTGCCACATTTCCCCTGTCCAGTCTATCATCGATGGGCATTTGGGTTGGTTCCAGGTCTTTGCTATTGTAAACTGTGCTGCAATGAACATTCGTGTGCATGTGTCCTTATAGTAGAATGATTATAATCCTCTGGATATATACCCAGTAATGGGTTTGCTGGGTCAAATGGAATTTCTATTCCTAGGTCCTTGAGGAATCGCCACACTGTCTTCCACAATGGTTGGACTAATTTACACTTGGTCATAGGCAATTCTTAAAAACAGATTAAGAATTGGGGTCTTGTGCACCAACTGTTTTTATGCCTTTGCTTTGTGACCTGAGCCATTCTTTTCCCATCTATAAAATGTGGGGGGTAGGATTAGAGGATTATGAAGGCTCCTTCCTAACTCTAAAATAGAGAATTTAAGGAAAGACCTACATATTTAGCAAATATAGATATGATACATAGAGTTCTTGGAACTACAGCAGGCATGTCTCTTCAGCCTGCTCTTCTTCCTGTAGCCACACATGGTGAATCACACCAACCTTCCTCTAGTCACATGAGCCAGAAATAGAGTGAAGAAAGCAATCAAAAGAAGACTTTGTTAAAATCTTTATACAAATGGATTGAAGAAGAAAAACGATTTTGCTAAAAGGTAAGTAAAGGAGCCAAAATGTCTCAGAGCATAGCACAAAGGAATAAAGAGATGAAAACCCTAAAAGCAAAGTCAAAGGATATGGGGAACTTCTGCTTCTGCCAATAGATTAAGCACTATGGGAATTAAAATCCTACTCTCAACAACTAGAAACTCAGACAAAATATATGAAAACAACTGCCTTCAGCTATTAGAAAACAGAGTAGCACAGATCGCTGAAAGAAGGGAAACAAATGAGCCCAATAGCCCAGCTTACTTCCTGGTGGTAGTTTCAGGCCTGAGGTTCAGGGAAGGGAAAACCATTGGATTGGGGGAACTCAAACCAAATCTTGTGGCCTTGATCTTGCTACAGTTCAGAGAAAGATTGCACCAGCAATCATACCCTTGGGCATTCACCTCAGAGAAAAGGAAACTCATGTTCATATAAAAACCTGGATGCAAATGTCCACAGCAGCTTTATTTTATTTTTTAAGCAGCTTCATTTTTACTAGTAAAATTGTGAAAACAATCCAAAAGCCCTTCATTGGATGATGGGTTGAACTTTCTTGGTATGTGATTGATTGGTACATCTATATAATGGAATACTACTCAGCAATAACATTTTTATATTTTTACACATTACCTTGTCAACCAGTATAATTATTTGCTTTTTACAAATTAGTTTATATAATATTAATGCATCATTAGCTAAAAAGTAAAATTATTGTTAATGATTAAATTGAACTGTAGTTTATACTTCACAAACCTTTGCTCTTCTGGCCAAGATTATCTCTGCTTGCTTATCAAGGACATCTAACTTCTTTAAGATTTTTTCTGCCATTGTCAGTCAGTAAATCCCTATTTTAAAATAAGGAAGAAGAAGAACAAATTAATTCAAATTTAAACATATAACAATTTAGGCATAAGTTTTCAAAAGACCCACTTTTACATTAATGTTTTAGGTAAATAACAGAATTGTGTGGCTCACGCCCTGTAATCCCAGCACTTTGGGAGGCCAAGGGCAGGCGGATCATGAGATCAGGAGTTCAAGACCAGGCTGGCTAACATAGTGAACCCCCCGTCTCTACTAGAAATACAAGAAATTAGCTGAGTGTGTGTCTGTACTCTCAGATACTTGGAAGGCTAAGGCAGGAGAATCACATGGACTGGGAGGCAGAGGTTGCAGTGAGCTGAAACCGAGCCATTGCACTCCAGCCTGTGCAAGACTCCATCTTAAAAAAAAAAAAAATGTTTAAATCACACAGTAAATCATAGAATTGTAAATATGCCCAAGTTTTTTCAATTGAAAGCCATATGATCAGAACTCCCAGATGTGTATAGGCCCCATGAATTTTTAAATTTATGATAAAGGTGAGGGGGAGAAAGTTCACAATTACCATATGAGAACTGTATGTGACTTATACTTAAAGTAACACCAAGTGGCTTGACTTATGTCTATTTTCTTTTTAAACTTTTTAGATTAAAAATCTATCAACCTAGGCATATGACTTAATTTTTCTTTTTTTTTTTGAGACAGAGTCTTGCTCTATTACCCAGGCTGGAATGCAATGGTGTTATCTTGTCTCACTGCAACCTCTGCCTCCTGAGTTCAAGCGATTTTCCTGCCTAAGCCTCCCGAGTAGCTGGGATTACAGGCTTGCACACCATGGCCAGCTAATTTTTGTGTTTTTAGTAGAGATGGGGTTTCACCATGTTGGCCAGGGTGGTCTCAAACTCCTGACCTCAAGTGATCTGTCCTTCTCAGCCTCCCAAAGTGCTGGGATTACAGGCATGAGCCATGGCGCCCAGCCAGGAGTAGGACTTTAGACATACCTATTTTCTTTTTGTCATGATATAATTTTAATGAAAGTAAATGCAAGAAACTCATATAATTAATTACTTCAAATTAAATTGGTCAATGATCAAAGACTGTTAACAGCATGTAGTAGGCAATTAGTCACACATAAGTAGCAGCAGCTAAGCTGGCTAGGTCCCATTGCCATAATAGTTCATATTTCCTCATTAATTAATATTGCTAAAAGTCTCATCTGAGGTCAAGCAGTTCATATTAAGCTTAGGGAGCTGCATGAGACATCAGAACCTGGTCTAATTTACATCTTCAGATGAGAAAAACTGAAGGCCACAAGGTACCCTATCAGTAAAATACAAATAGCTAGGACAGAGTGGAGGCAAGAATCCAGAAACAGCAACCCAAAGCTCCCTTTATTTTTTTATTTATTTAAAAAATTTTTGTAGATAGGCTAGGCATAGTGGTTCATGCCTATAATCCCAGCACTATAAGAGGTCTGGGCAGGCATGTCACTTGAGGTCAGGAGTTCAAGGCCAGCCTGGCCAACATGGTGAAACCCAGTCTGTACTGAAAATACAAAAATTACCTGGGCGTGGTGGCACATGCTTTTAATCCCAGCTACTTGGGAGGCTGAGGTAGGAGGATCACTTGAACCTAAGAGGCAGAGCTTGCAGTGAGCCGAGATGATGCGCCACTGTACTCCAGCTTGAGTGACAGAGTAAGATTCAATCTCAAAAAAAAAAAAACAAAAAAACTGTAGATGACCATGCAGTCAGTATATTTTTGCTCAGTGAATTAAATGGGCTTCAGTGGCATTTAAGTGTAAAAGTTATATGGTTAACAGAAAGTACTGAATCATCAATGTTTTTAATGAACATTAATGTTAATACTAAGGTCTTTCCAGCCCAAAAAAATCTATTTTTCTCCTATATTGTATATTATTCCACCAACATCACATGGAGACAACAGTTCATGAAAAGAGAAAGATTAACGATCCTATGCCAAAAGTTTACATTATTTTGTACTTGTTTTTTTTTCTACTCTTTTTCCTTCACCATATATTGCCCTGAGTATGAATTCTTCATGCCTTGACAGTGACATCCCATCCCAGCATGCCTTCTATCACGTCACCACATCCAGCCAGATTCTCCCTCCATCACATGATGTAGTCCGGTGTGATAAAGAAATCCCACAGAGATGCTGGGTGTGGTGGTGCATGCCTATAATCCCAGCTACTTGGGAGGCTGAGGCAGGAGGATTGCTTGACCCTAGGAGTTTGAGACCACTCTGGGCAACATAGCAAGACCCCATCTTAAAAAGAAAGAAAGAAAAAAGTAGCCAGGCATGGTAGCATGCATCTACAGTCTCAGCTGCTGGGGAGGCTGAGGTGGGAGGATCAAAAGGTTCATTTAAGCCCAGGAGTTTGAGGCTGCAGTGAGCTATGTTCATGCTACTACACCCCAGCCTGGGTGGCAGAGCAAGACCCCATTTCTTTAAAAGAAAATTACACAGAGGAAATTCTGGGCCATGGGGGTGCTGGCAGATAGAATGTCTTGTGACAAACCACACAACGTCAGGTTGCATGCTGGGAAGGGGAGATCCAGGACTGTGAAAGCTGATTATATGAAATGGGTCACTCTTGTGGTACCTAACTAAAACACAGTGAGAAGCCAGGGTAAAGTGAAAGCACTCAGGGCACAAAACATTGCTCCAAAAATGCAGTTCCTCTGGCAGCTGAAATTGACTGCTATAACCTAAACCAGTTGTATCTAATAGCTACTCAAAAGACCTGTGGCAACTCTAAACCAATTTTACCCTCAGCCTTCAGTTACCAATCTTGTCAGTGCCTCAGAACCTCACTAGCACCAATTTGTAACATTTCCTGGTTTTATAAAACCTCTAACCTTCTCTTTGTTCTTTAGATACTGAAGACCACTGCTCTGTGTGTGTGCCCTAATTCCAAATAAATATTTTGATTTTAGAGATTAGTGTCTATATTTTATTTTACTTTGACAGGGTAAAGGTATTTGCACAATGTGAATGCTTATGACATCCTGGGTTTCCCACAGGACAGCAGGGAACAGATTTTGAAAAAGAATATAGGTTATGATTATGTGGGCATATTTTGTTTTCAGACCCAAGAACTATCCCTCTTGTAAAACTAAACTAAACTAAAACTCTCCGAGGAGTTTTAGCTTCTGTGTTTCCCTTAAACGTAATATGAGTTCAAGGGGATGGAGAAGGCTCCCATATTCCTCACCAAAGTTGATTTTACTGGAGACAAAGATTTCTATTTTTCAGCGAGACACAGGTGAATAACTGAAAGAATTAATGTGTTAAAGTGAGTGAGTTTCCCAGTTTGGGAAGGCATAAACTACAAGAGGGCCAGCTGAGACAATGCTGCTGACTTGTGGGAAAGAACAAAGAGCAGGCCTTTTTTTTTTAATTCTTTTTTATTTTTGAGATGGAGTCTTGTTCTTGTTGCCCAAACTGGAGTGCAATGGCACGATCTCAGCTCACGGCATTCTCTGCCTCCCAGGTTCAAGCGATTCTCCTGCCTCGGCCTCCTGAGTAGTTGGGATTACAGGCATGCACCACCATACCCGGCTAATTTTGTATTTTTAATAGAGACGGGGTTTCTCCACGTTGGTCAGGCTGGTCTCGAACTCCTGACCTCAGGAGATCTGCCCACGTCAGCCTCCCAAAATGCTGAGAAAGCAGGTCTTTTTAGAGTAAGGTGTCCTAAACCTCTCACTTTTAGTCACGCCATCTTGAAGACCACATAGGACATTTTATGAGGCAAACTGTCATCCCATTGTACACACACACATAAACACACACACATACATAAACATACACATACACACATGCATGCACATGCACACACAGCTGTATTTTTCTATATACGGTTAGCTGTAGCATGAAAGAATTTTTATGTTTTTGCTTTAAAATATTTTGCTAAGAGTAAATTATTTGGCTATGAATGATTTCTGGAAAATCATTGGCAGATCATGAACTTTTTTAGAGTGAGAAAAACCCCAATTATTTTCAAGGGTCAACAACAGTTTATGAATACTAAATTTGACAGTTAATAAAATTGGCTGAATGTTAGTTTTGTAGTTTTAATTTCACATTTTGAAATGAATACATTTTTTTCAGTTTGCAAATACTTTTCTCCCATAGGCCTTTAGCAATGTGTCGATGGTGCCTAATGGATAAATGGCCCTGGGAAAAAGTGGAGGTGAGGAAACACTATGGATTAACTTGCTTGCTGTCATCATTATGCTTTGTAAGTTCATCAAGGGCCTATTTTGTACCTCCTCAAATAAATTCTGAGAGCAAAGGAACATCAGTACTAATATGAGGGTGTACTCCAAATACTTTGCATGAACTAACTACTAATCTTTTAATGCAAAATGAATCAAGACGATATTAAATGGGCTGGGTGCAGTAGCTCACACCCGTAATCCCAGTATTCCGGGAAGCCGTGGCAGGTGTATCATCTGAGGTCAGGAGTTTGGGACCAGCGTGGCCAACGTGGTGAAACCTTGTCTCTACTAAAAATACAAAACATTAGCCAGCCTATGTGGCACACCCCTGTGGTCCTGATTATTCAGGAGGCTGAGATGGGAGAATGGCTTGAACTTGGGAAGTGGTGGCTGCAGTGAGCCGAGATCACACCACTACACTCTAGCCTGGGCGACAGAGTGAGACTCTGTCTAAAAAAAAAAAAACAACTATATTAAATGTTCCTCAGTGTGATCTATATTTATGTTCTTTATCATATCTTTTTAATTTTAATATATACTTTGGTGTTCCTACTTCATACTTCTTTCTGAATTCTCAATAATATATATGAGCTTATATTATTATTTGATAATAAGCATTTATTTATTCATTTGGTCACTGGCTACCTAAATGTATTACATGACGACATTGTGCTAGGTATTCTATCAAATTTACTGAGAAAGTTGGCACCTGATAAACATCTTTCTTTGTGACCCCTATCTTCCTAGAAAAAAGAGATGCCCTCTCCTATTTCACTAAGAAAATAGACAAACAATTAAAGCTTCTTCAGCTCCTACCTCTCATACCAAAGTGTTATTCATTCCCATCCATTCTGCACTTTAATTTTAACAGAGGTGTTGGTTCTCCCGACCAAAGCTAATCCCTCCTGATATACTCTAAACTCCATTACCTTCAGTCTCCTGAAAGAATTATCTCTATTAGTTATCACCTTTCTCCTATGCCTTTTACCTCTTTTCTTCACGAATGTCTTCCTCTTAGCATACTCAAATTTATTTGCAAAAGAGAAAAAAGTTCTTCTCCTGATCCTACTAGTTATCTCTCTCATCTTCTGAAGCATTCTACTTAGAGTTGGGGGAAGTGCGCTCATCTAGAATATAGGGCTCTGATGTGGTCACAATAGCTTAACTCATAGACTCTCAGGGGTGGAATGGATCAATGGTCTCTCACAGAATTCTATTAACAGTGGGGCAACATTAACATCAAGAAGACAGACCTTTGTTATCCTTGCTTTGATTTCCATTGCCAGCATCCTTCTTCAGACCTTCAGGTTGTCACTTACCATCCTTTGGGTTACTGCTCTATACAACCCCCTAGTTTGCCTGCCCCAAAGCTTCCTCCTCATTCCTCAAATATTGATTCTTCAAAATGCCATCAGGCTGGGTATGGTGGCTCACACCTGTAATCCCAGCACTTTGGGAGGCCAAGGCAGGCAGATCACTTGAGGTCAGAAGTTCGAGACCAGCCTGGCCAACATGATGAAACCCCATCTCTACCTAAAAACAAAACAAAACAAATAGCCAGTCATGGTGATGCATGCCTGTAATCCTAACTACATCACACTACTGCATTCCAGCCTGGGCAACAGAGCGAGACTCCTTCTCAAAAACAACAAGCAAACAAACAAAATGCCATCAGAGCTGTCTTTCTTAAACCAGAAACTGATCAGGATCAGTTCCAGCCCACAAACCTTGGCTTGCTCTCATAACCTGAAGAATGACACCCAAACTCTTCAGAAGACATATGAGACCAGTCAAGAAAAGAGAGTCCAGGATCTGACTCAGCTCCCCTTTCTGGTTTATCCATCCTATCCCTTTCTGTTCCACCATTTTCTACCATTCCTACTTCCTGGGCATGTCCTTCCATTTTCCCAAGCATGTCCCTCACTCAAGCATTTCCTTCTACTCAGAATGTTCTCCCACATGTCTTTCAGTCAAAAGCCTACTCTTTTTTTCTTTTTGCCTTGTAAACAGGAATTTTATACAAAAACAAAGTTTTGCACCTTCAAAGCTATCACTCCAATAAGACACTAATTCAATTAAACAAATAATCTTTAAAAACATTTTAACAATGTACAAATATATTCACAACATAATCTGCTGATTAAGACTTCAACAAAGTTTATAGGACCTACAACAGAATTTACAGGTGCCTAAAATAGTTTGTATATTGCTTTAGTTTACAGTTACATCTATTGCTTTAAGAAATACCATTAATACAAATACATAATTTACAATATCCCCAGTATAGCAAGAAAAATATATAGATTCAGAAAATAAAATCTTTTAGACATTTATTATGCCAAGTATGTAAATGATTATTCCTATAATGACATGAAAGTAATGCTCTTTTAGTGGTAAAAGATGTATTAGCTCAAGTTCCACTGAAGAGCTTTCAATCTAGCTATTCTTTCTGTAAATAGAACAGCAGCAATCTCTGTGTATTTGTTAAATAAACTATGATGATTCCATTTATATTAACTGGGCCTTAAGTAAATGAGTTCTTACAAATAAAAATAAAATTTTAGAAAATAGTTAATACCACTCACCCAATTATTTTCATTTGCTTGCATATGTCTAAGAAATTTTCCCATGAGGTACATATTAAAAACTAACAATTATTTCCAACTTATACATAAGCCAAAGTGCTCACTCTTACCATGGAAGCAAAACTTACTTCTGAAAATAATCTACAGAAATAATATGTAAACCCACAGAGCTTTGAGACAGACTAAGAACACCCTCCTATGTTCTTTGGATCAAAATGTAAAGGTCTCCATTAGCTATGTAAATGAACACTTTCATTAACCTGGGATATATTGATATTATATGGCTGTGTTGTGCATACCTACAGAACATGTGCATACCTATACCACTGAACAAATCTTGACAATGTTTCTAGTGCCAACATATACTTCCTAGCCCCAACTGCTGGAAAGGAAATAAAAACCTAATATGAAAAGTACCTTCCCTTTTTATAAATAAAGTTTTTAAGTGGAAAAACAAAGCCAACACTCCTTGTGGCAACATGGACCAAGCTCTAAAAGATTCAGAGTCAAGAATCTCTTCAGTTGTTCTCCAATGTAACAAAGCACATAAGCTTTCTATTCAGGAATCTGATCACCTCCAGTGATTTGTCTTAAAAACTGCTTTCCGCCGGGCGCAGTGGCTCACGGCTATAATCCCAGCACTTTGGGAGGCCAAGGTGGGTAGATCACTAGGTCAAGAGATTGAGACCATCCTGGTCAACATAGTGAAACCCCGTCTCTACTAAAAAATACAAAACTTAACTGGGCATGGTGGTGCAGCCAGCTATTCAGGAGGCTGAGGTAGGAGAATTGCTTGAACCCAGGAGGCGGAGGTCGGTGAGCTGAGATCGCACCATTGCACTCCAGCCTGGGTAATAAGAGTGAAACTCCATCTCAAAACAAAGCAAAACAAAACAAAAAACTGCTTTCCAAGACATGAAGTAGCCATGCTGGTTAAATTCTTTCTGCTGCCTACCTTACATCTGATGTAACCATACAGGTTGGCACCTTGTAGCACCACACCCATGATAACCACCATTAACCACTTTACTCTGAAGAAGGGGGCACTAAAGGTAAGTATCACCCACAGCACTGGACAGGCAATAAGTCCCAACCAAAAGATTCTTGATTCAGCCTCTGACACAGTTTTATTCTCTTGAAAGGATTCCTTTCTAGATTCAAACACCCAATGGCTCTTTCCATCTTCATCAATGTGATTCCAGCAAGGTAGGCCATCCATTAGTCTACCTGTGACATTCTTCATGGCCCAAAAGTAACATGACAACAAGATAATTGTCACCATACAGATAATAAAGCTGCTGCTGAGCAACTCACAGAGAACATAGGTAACCATTGCACTGACTCATAAGAAAAGTGGAAAAATGATGCTACTGTGAGATGTCGACCACCACCTGTGGATGTCTGGCCTGCAGATCCTGACTCAATGACAGATGAATGAGTGTACTCTTACACCATTACAGTGAAAAGAGTGGGCTAGGGATGGCCATTTGCTGCTTTCTGAGGGTGAAATGCAACCAATCGACCAAGACCATCCACACATTAATTCCATCAAGATTTTACAATAGCGGTACTAAGTTAACACACTTGTGGTTAATTGACATGGTTAAAAGAGTAGTTATAGGATGATAAAAAGCTTTAGGTTCCTGGCCCAGAGTAAACACTATTAACAGGTAACTCCCCCTCCACCAATCTCCCACTGAGAAGACCATCCAACACAAAGTTTACATGACCAAACAGTTAAGAGTAGAGACAAAGGGATGTGGGGTAAACAGACTTAAGGAGAGCCTCCTTCCTATTTTCTCCCTAACTTAATGGACCTGCCACCTTCGGCCTGTCCCAATAAAACCTTTCAGCCTTCTGAAAGGTTTGAGACTAATCTGTAACTTTCCCTAATATATCTTTAACATTTTGCCAGCCACCCTGAGTGAGTATCAACACTACTGGATGTCTGATTTTCTATTTTCTTGGTCTATTAGTCATCTCTTCCACATCAAACAGTGAAACATCTTCAGTGTCATCATTACTATCCTTCTGCAACATCAAAAGCCTCCTCTTTATCAAATATGGTATAAAGACTACTCTTCTATGAATTTACTTGGCATCCTCTCATTCCTTGTCTTGATGACAGTCTTTTACTTGTGTGCTCCTGGCCTCAAGCAACCCTCCAGCATCAGCCTCCTGAGTAGCTGGGATTACAGGCAAGAACCACCATATCAGGTTTTAAGAGGTTTACTCGCTGGGTGCAGTGGCTCACACCTGTAATCCCAGCACTTTGGGAGGCTGCAGTGGGCAGATCATTTGAGGTCAGGAGTTTCAGAGCAGCCTAGCCAACATGGTGAAACCCTGTCGCTACTAAAAATACAAAAAAAAAGAAAATTAGCTGGGCATGGTGACACACACCTGTAATCCCAGCTACTTTGGAGGCTGAGGCAGGAGAATAACTTGATCCCAGGTGGTGGACATTGCAGTGTGCCGAGATTGTGCCACTGCACTCGGGTCTGGGTGACAGAGTGAGACTCTATCTCAAAATTAAAAAAAAGAGGTTTACTCTTTGACAAAAATCTCTTCCTCACTAGGTTGAATGCTCATTTAAAGCAAGAATTGACTTACCCACCTCCGAATCTCAGCCTCAGGCAAAGCATTTTACATCTCATAGTGATTTGAAAATTACAATTTAATTTGGAGATGTCTCTGAATATAACTTTTTAGAAAAAGTAAGCCTAGTTTATCTGTAATAAATGATGTCACTTCATAATGATCTACTGGAAGACGAAATAATAAGTTGAGTGAATTATTATAAAGTGGGGCTCTTGCAAACCTAAACTTGGTAAAATTGTTTTGAAAGAAAACTCGGATTTATGTTCTTAATTTCTAGCTCAGTAGTGATGTTTTTCGTTGTTGTTTTTGTTTTTTTTTTAAAGAACACAATGAAATAGAGGCCATGCCAATTGGGGCAGAATGAATTCCCAATTACTCTCACAGTAAATCATCTATGGGCCTCACTGCAAAGGCTTATTCACAACAAAAATTGCAGGTCAATATTAATAGCATATCAGAGACTAAGTTGCATCTGAAATAAAAATGTCTTAAATATTTTCAGAGAGCAATTTTAACAGCACCTTTGGGATTAAAAACAAACAAAACGACAACAACAAAACCCAGTGTCGTCAATATAATAGGCTCAGCTGAGAAGGCGTCTTCAGCAAGTTCTAAACGACTCAGGAAAACTAAGAATCTAAAGTCACAAACTAAAGACCTGAGAAATTACCTAGAAAATGGAAGCTAAATTAAAATTCACTTCCATTATTTGGCTTTATTAGTTCAAATGCTTACTCCTTGAGGACAAGGCCACATCTTACATTTTTATGTGACACGGTCCACTATTGAGACCACAGTAAGCACTCACTTCATCTGTTAAATGATTCATGTTTATTCAATAATGAAATAACTGGCTGAGTAGCTCCATCTCACATTCCAAGTACCGACTTAGGGGAATCTTTTTTTTCTTTTTTTCTTTCTTTTTTTTTTTTTTTTTCGAGACAGAGTTTCGCTCTTGTTACCCAGGCTGGAGTGCAATGGCGCGATCTCGGCTCACCGCAACCTCCGCCTCCTGGGTTCAGGCAATTCTCCTGCCTCAGCCTCCTGAGTAGCCGGGATTACAGGCACACGCCACCACACCCAGTTAATTTTTTGTATTTTTAGTAGAGACGGGGTTTCACCATGTTGACCGGGATGGTCTCGATCTCTTGACCTCGTGATCCACCCGCCTCGGCCTCCCAAAGTGCTGGGATTACAGGCTTGAGCCACCGCGCCCGGCCCTTTTTTCTTTTAAATCTAAAATGTTGATAAATGGCCTATATTATAGGCTGAATTATGTTGCCTCCAAAGTCATATGTTGAAGTCCTAGGCCCCAGGATCTCAGAATGTGACCGTATTTGTATATATGGCCTTTAAAGAGTCAAGTTAAAATGAGGTTCTTAGGGTAGGCTCCCCCATCCAGTATGACTGGTGTCATATAAGAAAAGGAGATTGGGACACCAGGATACACCGAGGAAAGACCTTGTGAGGAATCAGTGAGAAGGCAGCTACCACCCCAAGCCAAGGAGAGAGGCCTCTGAAGAAAACAACCCTGCTCACACCTTCATTTCTAACTTTTAGTCTCTAGAACTGTGAGAAAATAAATTTGTATTGTTTAGCCACTCAGTCTCTGATGTTTCGTCATGGCAGTCCCAGCAAACTAGTACAGCCTGGGCACTGGGAGAACTCGTTTAAAAACCCTCCCATGTGCTTAGCTACACATTATGAATTTTCTTGTTATTTATTTATTTTTATTTTTTGAGACAGGGTCTCACTCTGTCACCCAAGCTGGAGTGCAGTGGTGTGACCTCAGCTCACTGCAACCTCCATCTCCCTGGTTCAAAGGATTCTCTTGCCTCATCCTCCCGAGTAGCTGTGTCTGCAGGCGCCCACCACCACACCCAACTAATTTTTGCATTTTTAGTAGAGACTGGATTTCACCATGTTGGCCAGGCTGGTATCAAACTGCTGACCTCAAGTGATCCGCCCCCATTGGCCTCCCAAAGTGCTGGGATTACAGACGTGAGCCACTGCGCCCGGCCTGGAAGGGAAGTTTCTAAGAAAAACTATCAAGGAATTTTAAAACGATGATGTACGTACATCGTGGAGTATTATTGTGGGCGACTAATCAGATAATTATTGGTAAAATTGATTAGCCAGCTGGAAATCGCAGTACAATTACCGCAGGAATGATCAGCTCCCACCAGCCATTCCAGGAGGCTGGGTGTCATCAATTTGGAAATGTATCAGTTAAGCAGCCCCCAGCGCCCCTCGCACCTCTCTCTCTCCGCCCCCGGGTTACCTTATCCCAGGAGCCTACATTCCGCTGGAAACACACGGAGACCTACTCTAACGCTCTATGGCTTTGGTCGTTTCATGGGAAAGCAAAATTAAGGGCAACATTGAGGAAGCTCATTCATATTTAGTTTAGAAGACGCAAAGGGTACTTCAGCGAATCGGGAAGAGCCCCCAGGACCCGCCTCCCGCCAGGTTCCACACTCGCCTGACCTCACTCACTCTCTCCCAGTCCAGGCCCCGCTGGAGAACGTCCCACTGACTCCAGGAACAGAAAGGCCGTTTATGTAAAACGATGTTTTTTCTATTTCGCCTCCCACCCTCCTACAAATTTTGATCTTCAGCTTTTCCAACGCTCCCTCCTCCAGAAACAAACCTCATCTCCTTTCCTCTCTCTTCCGGCTCCGCGGGTTACTCGCCCCGCCCCCACCCTTCCGTCCCTTAGCAACGCGTCCCCTGTCCATAGAAACCGGTTCCCGAGCTCTGCCCACCTCTGAAAGACTTAAAGAGCAGAGTTCTCTTCTCAGAGGGGCTTCGCCCACAGACTTTTGTCACTGAAAGCTCCGGTGACTCCCCAGATGCTTACGGATATTAAAACAGGTTATGCTGAAGGAGTGGAAGGAGATTTTGTTTCCTCTTCTTGTAACCTCCTTTCTTTCTTCTTTTGTGCTTTCCTGGAAACATCGAATTTCAAAAAGAAGCTTACAAAGTCCCCCATGCAGTTTGCAGGTCTGAATGGAAGACAACAGTTTATATTTGAATATTTGATAGAATATTGCTTTCATGGCTTATGAAATTTAAAAAATTTCTTATTTCCAAGGCCAAGAAATCTCCCATGTGGTTAGTAAAATAACCCCTGTATTATACAAGTTGTATAGCAGAGCATTTTTCTGAGTCATAATGGAGGTGCACTCTGACATACATTCTGCTGTATTTACCGTATCCTAAACCATTTGTCCTTGTTGCTCACTTCTGTGAACAGAAGGCTATGGGAGTCATTCATTTTTAGAGTCATAATCTAAACTTGAAAACAACTTGCATTTAATTAAAAATGGTGGGGAATTTCACAACATTGGTTAAATTTTAAGTCAGGAGTTGGTCATCATTCTAAGAATTTACCTTATCTGATGCATCAAAATAGGGTCAAAAAAAAGCTTTAAAAAACAGCATTTCAACATCTGTGAAAAGAAGAGAAAAAAAAAAAAAATCACAAGTCCATAGCTGGGCACGGTGGCTCACACCTGTAATCCCAGCACTTTGGGAGGCCAAGGCGGGCGGATCACTTGAGGTTAGGAGTTCGAGACCAGCCTGACCAATATGGTGAAACCCCATCTCTACTAAAAATACAAAAATTAGCCAGGGGTGGTGGCATGCACCTGTAATCCCAAGCTTACTCAGGAGGCTGAGGCAGAAGAATCGCTTGAACCTGGGAGGTGGAGGTTGCAGTGAGCCGAGTTCACTCCACTGCACTGCAGCCTGGGTGACAGAGCGAGACTGTCTCAAAAACAAAAAACAAACAAACAAACAAACCAAAAACAAGTCCATACTAGTGGCAATGGAAAAACTGCAACAAAAACAAAAAAAGTATACTTATGTAGCAATCAAAATTTGGCTAGAAATTGATATTCATAGTCAATGCATATAAACACTGGAGTTAATTTATTTCAAATATTTAAAATACAGTAATTAAAAGTATAAGGTAGTTTGATTATTTTCTTTTTTTGTTTTTTTTAAGACAAAGTCTTACTTTGTTGCCCAGACTGGAGCACAGTGGCAAGATCATAGCTCACTGCAGCCTCAACCTCCTGGGCGCAAGTGATCCTCCCACCTCAGCCTCCCAAGTAGTTAGGACTACAGGTGCATGCCAGTATGCCCAGCTAATTTTCTTATTTTTATTTTTTATAGAGACAGGGGTCTCACTATGTTGCCTAGGCTGGTCTTGAACTCCTGGGCTAAAGTGATCCTCCTGTCTTGTCCTCCCAAAGTGTTGGGATTACAGACATGAGTAGCCACTGTGGCTGGCCAAGGTAGTTTGAGTCTATCATATTTTTTAAAGCCATATACATTCAAGAACAATGATTTGTATGGAATTGATAACTAGAATCTTGTTGATAGTGGTGATTTGTCTAAGATTGTTATAATACCTTCAGCTCATAAATTTGCACAGAGGTGAAAGTTAGCTTCTTAAGTAAAGAATTGGGTTCAGAAATGTTAGCTACTCATGAATCTTCAGTCAATAAAATGTATAAAGCATGAATCTTATGAAATTCTTAGAATATTATCATTATTTCAGTTAATATTTATGGAACATGTTCTGCATGCCAGGTACTAGGCTACAATTTTAAAATATTTCTGATTTCATCCTTTACTTTGGATGTACACACATACCATGTAGCGTTTTTATGAGTCATAATGGAGGTACACTCTGACATACACTCTGCTGTATTTATTCTTAAACTTAATTAGGATTAGTATCTATGGAAAGGGTATTACCTTTAATTTTAGAAAAGACCTCACTGAAACTCAAAGAAATTATGTGGTTTTCTCAACATTATATAATTAGTAAGTACAATTATTAATATAAAACAAAGTATTTTCCCTTTTATAACGAAAGTTTGGTAAATGTACACAAGAAAGAATTCAAGTGCATTTTTTCCTAACTACTTTCATTGCTCTCAGTTAAATTCAGTATTTACTGAATGAGTTCATGAACCTATTATAGATAAACACTGGGTTAAGGAGCCTAATGAATGTTTTATTTTAAAAGTACACAGATTTCTTAAAACATAAACTGTATTCTATAAGAAGGCAAAGAAAGTAAAATCCGCAGACTTTTTCCTACTTCCCCTTTGAAGGAGGCCAACTACAAAGTTAAAAGGCTCATTCCCTAAAACTGCCCTTACTTCTGACACCAAGTTCAGGGGGCATCAAAACCTTGAGTAGAACCCTCAGGTTCACAGACATCACTGAAAGCTATTGCATTTAGGGTTATAGTTTATTACAAGGAAAGGATACAGATTACAACTAGCCAAGGAAAGTCCATAGGGCAGAATCAGTCCAGAAATACCAAATGTGGAGGTTTTATTTTCCTCTTCCTGTGGAGTCAGGACAGGTTACTCCCCCAGTATTGTAGAACAACAATGCACACACAAAGTTTTGCCACCCGGGGAAGCTCACCCAAGTGTTCAGAATTTGTAGTGTGGCTTCATCACACAGCATAATTGGTCGATTGCCCACATCATTAATCTCTACCTCCAAGTTGACTGATACCACGTGACCCAAAGCCCTCGCCTTAAGTCACATTGTTGATCTTTCTGAAGTGGCCAGTCCCCACCCTAAGACTATGCAGGTATGGCCACCTCCCTATCCTAAATCACACTGTTAGACTATCCCATATGACTCAAGGTCTCCAGGCAAACAAAGATCTTCCTAACAGGCATAACATTCCTAGGGCCCAGAGATTATGTCTCAGAAAGCAAAAGCAAAGGTCAGACTTTCTTTTCTTTGGACAAGAGATTCTTTCCTATAAATTATTTACTATACATCTACTAGGTTTAGAAAATATCAAAATTTTTACGCAATGGTCCCCAAATGGTGAAAAGTCTGTGATTCCCCATCCCTGCCTTCTGTTCTCTCTGGAGAAAAGAGAGCATTTTTTACCCCTTGCCCTACACAAACTGTGAAGCCTGGGAGAAATGTCAGTATTCTTCACTGTTCCTAATGTTCCTTCTCCACCTTTAGGTTCCTTCTTCCTAAGGAAAAGCTGCCTCTTCCGATGTTCATGACAACTATCTCCCCATACATATTTACCAACAAATTCCCAGGCACTTCTCACTTTTACAGATTTGGGGACTTTATCAATATTCCTTTTCTTTTCTTTCTTCTTTCTTTCTTCTTTTTTTCTTTTCTTTTCTTCTTTTTCTATTGTATTTATTTTATTTCTTTTTTGATCCCAGTGGAAGGGAATCAGTGCTCCTTTTCATATTAAATCCATTAAGCCAATAGTTTTGCCTCAAAACTCATTATCTTTCCAGATTAAAGCTATCTTTACTTCATGATCTTCTAACTCTGAAATATTAAGCTTTAACAGGTCTTCTCTGATCACTACCTGTTATCCCAATTGCCCATTACCTCTCTTACTCTAGATAATATGCTTCTTGGTCACTTAAATTCCTTCTGTCTCTTTTGTTTGTGAATCCAAGGGACATCTTTCAGGTCCTTTGTTACTTGACATCTGTTCTGAATTGGACAGGTTTTGCTTCTGGCTCTTTGAAACATTCCCGTCCCTTGGCTTCAATTACACAACTCTCCTACTTTTCTTCCTGCCTTACTGATAATTTCCTGAATACCCTCCTTTATGGATTCCTGTTCCTCTGGGGGCGTTAAATATCATTGTGCCCTGGGATTCTTTCTTGTTTTTGTTTGTTTGTTTGTTTGTTTGTTTTCTCTTTTTGTTTCTTTCCTAGGCTTGACATTCCCTTCAGAATTCAGTCAAAGCCATGCAGCACAGAATATAGGACTTCTACCACCTGAGCCCAGTCTGTGTTGAACTGAGTTCCAATTGTCTTTCCAGCTTTATCTCAGCCAATCCATGGAACACAAAGTTACTACCTTGTAATTTAATGGGAATTTTTACTAAGTTTTGGGCTCTTTCTATCTGTTCTTTTCATATTGTTCCCTCAGCACAGGGACTTCAGAACTTTTGCAGCCCCCTGGCTCTAAGGATGGAGAAAGTTATCTATGTTAGGCCAATGAGATCACAACACCCTGAGCACAGTGACTGGCTCAGGGAGAGGCAGATGACTAATGGGAGGCCAGTTAGGGGCCAGGAAAGTTGTTTACAGGACTTTGAGCCTGTAGGGAAGAAGAGTTTCTCTTATAGTCTGCTTGTGATGACAATTTGAGACTTATGCTATGGGAGCCGCTATGAAGACCCTGAGAGTGGAGTCAGTCCAGCAGAAGTGAACTGAGAGGTGGAGCTGGGCAGTAGCAGTTGAGCCAAGGGTCAAGCTTTCACTGAACTAGAGCTACCTCTAGACCTCTTTGGGTAACATGATTCAGTAAGTTCTCTGCGTATAAACATCTGATTTATTTTTCTACTTTCTATAGAAGCCTAGAAAAGGATAATGTGCTCAACAAATATTTGTCAAATGAATGGAAACTGTAAAATGGAAAGATTAATTATCTCAGAGAGCTGGTCTGAGAGGTAAATGATTTACCAATCTGAAATGCCAGGCACAGTGCCTAGCAAAAAGCAGGCACATGAAACGCTCCTTATGTTTCTATGCCTTCAGCACACTACCTGTCGCCACAGTTTATACAGCATAGCCCAAAAACTGCTACTTGAACTTGATTATAAGTTCTAAGAAAACTCACATTCACAAAAATTTGACTTATTTAGTCCTAAACATTTTCCCCATAAGTGTTTTCCTTCATTAAAGACCAC